TTAGTTTTTCGTTCCTCTCAATATTATTTATCTGATCAGAAAGCGATATATACAGAAATCTCACAGAAATTGTGAGATTTTACCAAACCATTCGTGCAATATTTTTGAAAATGCTGAATGGTTTCCTTGACCAAAGGCTGGCCAGTATTCTTCTGCCGAAAATTGCCAGTCCATTGTTTGATATAGAAGGGCTACCACCTTTTACAGTGAATTACCTCCTAGTTGAGAATTATTATCTTATCACACAGGGACTAAAAAGTTTAAGTATGTGTTTTTTTTCCGTATATATATATATATATATATATATATATATATATATATATATATATATATATATATATATATATATATATATATATATTGTAATATTCTGAGGATGATGTTATTCTAAGAAATAAATATAACAAAGTTAAACGGGACGAACGGCTATTTCCTGAGATCGATCCCTGTTTTGATTGGTTAAAAATTTTGAGTTTCGCAGAGTCCGATTTTAAAACATCTCGTTAGCCGGACTTTAAGACTTGAGGAAATTTTTAACGCATGCGTTGTTTTAGTAGGTTTAAATTCTAAACCTTGTTTTAAATTTAAAAGCATCGCGCGTTCTTCTAATAGCAACTAGTTTAGTGAACTTAAAACTTATCAGAACTTGTTTATTAAATTTGAAAAATAATAAATTACAATGGTGAGTTTTTCTATTAATTATAATAATTGTTATATGATGAAAAAAGATTATAAAAATTCTTTTATAACAAAATCTTATATTTACCTTCATTCAAAATAAATATAATTATATTTATTTTGAATGAAGGTAAATATAAGACTTCTATACATTGTAAGGTAATTATATATTATATATTATAAGGTAATATATATATATAAGGTAACATGTTAAAAGGTAATATAATATATTATATATTATTAGGTAATATATATAAGGTAATATACTATAATATATTTTAAGGAAAATATAAAAATATAAGATTCTATAACCTTATATAAGGTTATTTAAAAAGTTATAGGTCTATAACATTTTAAATCTATAAGTTTTTAAATTTTAAATTTTTAAATTTTAAAATTTTAAATTATAATGACATCACAAATATAAGATCTATCTTATATTTGTGATGTCATTATAATTTATAATGACATCACATTTATAATAAATATATCTATAATCATATTCATAATATTGATAATAATAAGAAGAAATTAATGTTTATCATTTATACATTTTTGTTGTATTTATACTGTTATATTCTATAATATTGATATAAGATAGGATGTATGAATATTAATTATAAATTTTATTCTATATTGATTATATCTGTATAGAATTAAAATCTTTCATAGATAGTATGCATACATAACTAAAACAAAATATGTTATATTGATCAAAATGTTGTCTACTTAACTCATTAATAAAAGTCAATTTTAGTACAACATTAGCAATCTTTAGCATGCATCAAAAGTAGATTATTAAAATTATTTACACTGCAGACCTAGAAGGTTTTTGATTTAGCATAGACGGAAAATATGCATATATAATTGCTACCTACTTTTGTTGCATGCTAAAATTTTGATCACCAACTGTTTATGTTATAGTTGTCTAAAATAAAATAAGCTTTATTATTCTATTAAATTAGTATTAAAAAGTAAGGTGTAGTTAGTAATTATTGAAAAGATGATTTTAACACGTCTCTCATTTTTTATTACCTTTTTTCATTTCTATTAACTGTTATTATTATGTATAAAATTCAACACTTAATAATTATTCCTAACAACTAAGCGTTAAACAATTGAAAATTGCATATATATATATATATATATATATATATATATATATATATATATATATATATATATATAAGTATAAGTTGTTGCTTACGTTATCACTCTGATTCTTGAACAAATGTTTAAAATTATATGTTCAATAAATTAATAAAATATAATTTTTTTTTAGTGTTTCTATAATAATTATTGAGGTATCATACGTAAGTTTTTTAAACAAAAATAGCTGTTTTAAGATTCAAGGGTTGCTCAGACAATTTTGTACTTAAAAAAAACATAAAAAACATTTTCATGCCAGCTAAGTTATTCAAAATTGGCAAGACAATATAAATGTTGTAAACTAGTATTGATTTAACATGTTGCTAGTTACTTATATACTTAATAGTATTGATTTAACATTTTACTTGTTACTATTTTTAAATTATAATTTTTTTAAAAAACTTGTAGATAAGATAGATAAGAATGATTTTGATTCTTATCTATATGGCTTGTTAAGTGCATATTTAAAAATCTGTCTCATTAAATGAGAGAACATGTTGTATACACTTACTAATATGCATTTAATGTTGTAAACTTGTTTGCAATACCTAAAAACAAAGCCAAATTCAAGACTGGAGTGTCCAGTAAATTTTGACAGTTTTTTTTTTCCAATTCATATATTATTTATAATAACTTTTTTTTCATAAAAAGTTTATAAAATTATTATTGTAGTATTTTTAAGCATATTATTGAAGTATTTTAAAATATATTATTGTAGTATATTAAAACATATTCTTTTATTGTTTAATTTTTAGATGTAAGCAGTAGGATATCAACTGTCTTAGGAAAGATTTAGAAAAAAAAGATTTTGTATTTTTAAACAAAAACTTTTATTTGTGCAGTAATCATTTTTAAAGTACAATGTATTATTCTACAAATAATGGTGGAAAACATTTGTTACAATCAGCAATTCCTACTATTTTTAACATCCCAAATCCTCCTCCACTTCTTGATTCTAAAAGGAAACCACCAGTTGACATCATTCAGTTCCAGCGAAAAAATTTCAAAAATATTGTATGTATTGTCATTTGGTATATTAAATTATTATTTTTTCAATTTAAATCTTTGTAATGAGACTTTGTAATGTTATAATGTATAATATTAATACTTTAATTAATATATAATGGTAATAACTTTTATGTATAATAATATACTTTTATGCTCTAAAAAAATTACACCAACTTTATGTTCTACAAAACTTTTTTTGTTCTACAAAACGTTTTTTCATCTTAATGTTACAAAATTGAGATATCTTGAATACAAAATTGAGATATTTAGCAACAAAGATTATTAATTAAAAAAAACTATTTGTGTTTGTTCAGAAAAGGTCCGGCAGGACATCCCAGAATGCAATTTTGATCAATTAACAGGAATTTCGCGAAGTGGATAGGCTTTGTTTGGTGACAAGAAAATAAAAAATGCAACATGACTCCAGCCAAAGTCTGATGCAATGCATATCAAAGTAGCTGAATTGAATGCATGTATTTAAGGTGTCAATATGGCATTGAAATGGAACCCAAGTGATATCAAAATTGATTTTTATAGTGTATTCAATTGGTTAAATTCTGAATTGAATCATGACAAACCTGTAAAATGTGCTGGGCAATGCAAAATGCTAATTTGACAAAGGCTTCAAGCATTTGGAAAATTGGTTGAAGATTATGCCATAAGTGTAAATGTTACATGGGTAACGATAACAAAAAAATATTGCAGACGAACTCACACGAGTGCCAACAAAATGGATAAAAAACAAAGTTGCAACGCATGAATGTAATATCATTTATAAGCACAATCAATAAAGAACCCCAAATTTAATTGGTGATACCGGTTTTCCGGCAACGTTGAAAGAGGAAGATGATGTTGTGACCCCCTCCTCCTCTCCTAATTAAACAAGTGCTGCAACAATAATTTTTAATAATCATTTATGTTTATCATGTTTAGTAGTATCCTATTATAAAGAGTTGATTTAAAGGCATTTTTTTTGAATACATGAATTTACTGGTGGACAATGCAGGCTGTCAAGTTGTCATTTTTTTTGGGTTCTTTTTTTTTTTTTTATTTTTTTTCATTTTTTTGTTAGTTTCTGTCATTTTTTCATTTTTTTCTTGAATGTTTTACACTTTAAAGTTTTTTTTTATAAAAAAGTACTTAGAATTGCTGTTTTTGATATTTTTAAGTTGTTTTGGACATTATGTTAGTTTTTTATTTAATTTTCAAAACTATTTTATAATTTATTTATAACAGTTACAATCTTTTATATTCACATTTTAATTTTAATTATCCATTTGTATTGCTAAATTGGTGTTATTATTTTAAAAAATAAATCATTCTATAGTATAGAATTAGTAAAGTTAGTGATTTTTATATTTAGTTTTTAGTATATTTATCAATAGATTTTATAGTATAATGGTTAAGTGGAATGATGTGTGGTTGGAAAAGTTAGACAAAAATCTAGTGAAAATTCAATTATGGGCTGAAAAAAGAAACTCTGAATATGCTATCTGTAAACTATGCAAAAGTGATTTAAAATTCAGTTCAGTTTGTTTCCAAGCACTGTATCAGCATTCTTCAAAACCTAAACATAAGTCAGTGTCTGATCTAAGATTTTCAAAAACTGCTTGTCATTTATATGTAGATTCTAACAAAAACTCTATTGGGGGAGAAAAAGTTATACAATTAGAGTTCTCTATAAATGAAAAAATTTCTGCTGCAGAAGCCATGTGGCTTTTTAAAGTGGCAGAGAATGATCTTGCCTTAAGACATTGTGACAACACACCAATATTGTTCCAAAAAATGTTTCCAGATAGTAAAATAAGTCAAGGTTTTACTATGAGTCGGCAAAAAGCTTCTTATATTTTGCAAGATGGTCTTGGGCCATTGTTGGAAATACGTTTATGTAATAGTATCACGTTAAGTCAAGGTGCATTCACTTTAATGTTTGATGAAACAACTACTTCACAACAAAGAAAACAAATTGATCTTTTATGTCGTTTTAGGTCAGAAGACGAAAACCAAGTTGTTACAAAATACTTAACATTGCTGTTCTTTGGCAGAGCAACAGCAGAAGATGTCAAAACAATGCTAGCAGATTTACGTCATAATGAAAGGTTTTATTTACCATGGGATCGTCTTTTTAATATTTCAGCAGATGATCCTAATATTAACAAAGCCATTTGGAGATTGTTAAATGCTGATCTTCATAGTAATGGTTTTAATGGCTTGTTACCATTTGTAAGTTGCACTTTGCACACAGTTCAAAATGCTTTTCGAAAAGCAATTAATGTTGTCAGTGAGGATGCTGAGCAGCTTGCATTTGATTTACATACCTGGTTCAAGGTAATGATTTGAGTAATTTCATACAGTAGAATCCCATTAATTCGGACCCTGGATAAGTTGGAAACAAAAGGAGTATAAAAGACACTGACAAACAACAAGTGTTATATTCGGATTCAAAGAAGTCTTAAGGAAACTGAAAATGTAATTAAAGTTATTATTATTATTATTTTTTTGAATTATTACATATAATAGAGAATTGATTATTTAAGGAGTTACTTGTGTCCATCAAATTCCTTATTGGTTTAGCTCCCTTGTTTGAGAAATACTTGACAAAATTTCAAGATGAAGGACCACTTGTTCATATTTTATTTTATAAAATGAAAAATCTTTTAATATCTTTAATGAAATGTTTTCTTCAGCCGACTGCTGTTAATGGAAAGCTTACTAAAGATCTTTTAAAAATTGATTCTTCTGATTTAACTATCCACCTTGATTTGAATAAAATGGACTTTGGCTAGGAAGCTAAAAACCAGGTAATTTTTGATAGGTACACATTTGCTACATTTACCAGTTGCACATTTGCTGCCTGGTAAATGTGTACTTGGTAAATATGTATAAGTAAGTGTACTAGGCAATATAAACTATTTTGTTTATTGTATAATCATTAGATATTATATTATTGAAAATTAAGTTTTTTTATTCATTTTCATTGATGTAGATTTTCAATGTAAATATGTCTTAGGTGAACAAAATATCATGTGAAAAAAAAAGATATATCTGCTTACAGCAAATGAGAGATGGATATATATCTGTTGCAAAACACTTGCAAAAAAAACTTCCACTTGATTCGCAGATATTAAAAGATATGACTTGTTTGGGTGCTCAAATGAGATCAGAACCTTGGACTGTTAATGCAATTGGGAGAATAGCAGTAATGATGCCACATGTAATTACGGAAAGGGAGGTGAATATTTAAATAAATTTATATTAAATAACTGTAAAATAATATATATATATATATATATATATATATATATATATACATATATATATATATATATATATATATATATATATATATATATATATATATATATATATATATATATATATATATATATATATATATCATAATTTCTGATTTGTAAATTAAACTAATAATAAGTAAATTTTGAAAAATTTAAATAATATAAGTATATATATTGTTAACATAATCTACTATATAATTAAAATAGCAGAGTACGTTAACCATATAAATATATTATTTAACATTTTCAAAGTTTATTAATTATTAGTTTAATTTACAAATCAGAAATTGTTGTTTGTAAATTATTAGTTAACAAACTATTTTAATTTTAATATAATTAAATTTTCCTTTAATTTTAAATGTTAATACTTTCTCCATAACAATTTTATCTTAATTTTTGTACAGGTATCATTTATGAAAGATGAATGGAAATTATACCAAGCAGCTAATATATCAAAAGACTGGTATATAGATTCTGATACAAAAAAACTAAAAAGAGTAGACCATTATTGGGCTAAAGTTTTTGAAAGTAACAATGAATATGGAAAAACAATGTATGGGCATTTTAGTAAAGTTTTTAAGAGCTGTTTAACAATTCAGAATGGAAATGCCAGTGCTGAGCGAAGTTTATCTGATAACAAAAATACATTGACTCCTGGGAAAGTAAATCTAAATGATGAAACATTAATGGCTTTGAGAATATCAAAAGAATATGCAAGAATTTGCAAAGAAGCCTATAATGTTGATGCACTCTCCAAAGATGTTGTTCAAGCTGTTCAAAATGCTCATAAAATATATAAAAAAAGAAAAGCTGAAAAAGACAAAGAAAAGAGAAAAAATTATATTCATGAGCAAGAACTAATGAATAAAGAAAAAGAACAGAAAGAAATGCTTGAAAAAGTTGAAAATAAAAATAAAAATTTAGATCAACAGGAAAAAAGTCTAAAGAATGATAAAAAAAATACAGATTTTGAGTTTCAGCTTGCTCAGAGAATGCTCGATGAAGCAGCAAAATCTATGCAAAGTGCCATTATTAAGGAAGACATGATGGGTATAAAAATTGCCCATGAAATGATAAACAGCGCAAAAAGAAGTCTTGAAAATGCTACATCTCATAGAAATGAACAGAAAAAGTTGAGAGAAAATATTGGTTTAAAACGTAAAAGTGAAATGGATAGAATAATTAAGCGTTGCAAAAAATTAAAGTAGTCGTAAAGTTTGAAAGTTTTTGTAAATATAATAGAGCTTGAACTGTTGGTTCAGTTATAATTAGTTAGCAAAATTTATTTATTTATGTTAATTATTTTAGACTTTAGAAAAACATTTTATTGCGTGTTAAACAACAAAAAGATGTTGAGATTTTCATTTTTGATGAAAATTTAAAAAATTAGTGATGGCGGATGATTTTGTTTGTTATTTTGTTTGTTATTTTCAAAATAAAATTATTGATCTTTTCATTTTTATAATGAAATCAGTCATTTTTTTTCATTTTTTGTCATTTTTATTCTCAAAATACCATCATTTTTTGTCATTTTTTTCGAAAGTTAAGACTATAACAAACCCTTTTGTTGCAAATACCACGCTAACAGTAAATATTTATTGAAAATTGTTTAAAGTATTTTAAACATTTATTAACTATATTTTAGTACATTTAATTTTAGTGTTTAAATGTTTAAACCATTTTTAATCAATATTTACATTAAATAATATATTAAATCACGTAATATTTGTAAAGTTAACAAAATAGTTTTAGGTCTTGTATTTAAATTAAAAACATAAGCGTTTAATAAACAAATTTGTTAAGCATTTAATAAACTATTTGAAAAAATAACATAAGTATTTAATAAACTTATTTACTAATTATTTAATTTTAAAATTTTGATTTAAATATTAGCAAACCTGTTCATTTAACTTTTACTAAAGGTTAATAATTTTAAAAATGATTTTAAGGCGCCTTCTAAATTAAAGATAATTAAAAAAGAGATAATTGGGGTAAACAAAATTTTAAAAATGAAATGTTTTTTTTGAATTAAAAGCATATTATAAATTAAAAAACATTTAAAAATATATATATATTTTATATATAATTAAGTATAATTTTAAAAACTTACGTTTATTTTATTTATATAATTATGTTTATATAAATAAATTACATTTACTGTGTGTTATTTTAAACAGATTTTAATAAAACTTTTATCGAGTTATTGAAATCTTTATTTTTATTATTTTAAAAGTCAAAAAGAATATCAAAAAGAAACAAAACGTTCTGAAAAAGTTAACGCTTGGTTTTTTATTTTCCTCATGTAAATTAAAATAGCAAGCAAAAGTTAATTCATTCAAAAATTAAGCTTGCATGATAGTTACGACAGTAAGTAACTGAAGGCCAATTATGTCACGTAGTTATGTAAAAAAGTTTTTACATTTTCTTTTTATTTCATTTTATTGTCCTGAAGAAAAAATGAGGCAGCTAAAAATTTATATACTACTGCATTAAAAACTGAAATTTTTTTTTCTATTTTTCATAAAAAAGGAAAATATAAATTAATTTTTGGGAGCTTTTTTTTGGGCACCAATACCGGCCAAACAGTACTAAAACACGTCTAGGTTCTTTACTGACAATAATCAACAGATTAAAAAAGTTCATTCAATAGCACACATGGGAGTTTCCAAGAGTATGGAGTTATGCTCGTGTGCTGGTATTCACATTAACTGAGACGCAGTGAAACAAATTGTCGCTGAATTTGATGAATGTAATTCAATTGATCCTAATGTGGTTTTGTGGGATAAAGGAAATCTTGCTGTCAGTAAAGTGTTGGAAAGAGTAGCCTGTGATGTTACTCTTGTTGATTCGTTAATATATCTCACCTGTATTAATTGTGGTCAAACAGATACACATTGTGGACTCCATTATGCGACGAAAGTGCAGCAATGGTTGTTCAATCATTAGAAAAATATGGTCATTGCTTTGACCTCCTTCCGCAGTTCTCCTAGATAATTCTAAGGCAATTAAATCTCAGATTATGCAAGCTATGGTGTCGAAGTGGGAAAACAGACTTATATATCAAGCTGTTGAAAAACCTTCGGGCGTATAGCCATGACTTATGGACTGATAAAAGAATGCATATTTTGCATGCACTGGACATTAGTTTTCTGAAGGCAAGCTCCAAAATTTTCTTTTGGATTTTCATCAAGTCAAAGAAAGGCAAAATGGCCAGTTAATTGCGGATTAGTTAAATAACATCATTTGAGCAAAATCAACTCAGAACAAAGCTAGAATATGTTGTTACCAATTAAGCCTCAAATAAGAAAAAATTATGATGTGCTCAGTGAGAGACAGGCAAATAAGAGTGAAGGAGAATCTGAACATATTGTTATAGTTGATGATAAAGATATGTGGAATGGTCTGCATGAAGAAAACCAAGTCATTGTAGCTTGATAGCTTTGTAAACAAAGCTATCAAGCAACATGCAACTGAAAGGTTAGCATGCTATGCATATTCATTGTAGCTGTGTGTTAATGATGGACTAACTCATCTGAAAACAGCTAACAGTTTATTAGCCAAATGCTTAAAGTTGGCAAATTTAACACATCAAAGCACTCTTTTTTGTGAAGTTTTTGAGTTGAAATTCGGAAAGGATGCTCAAAGAATGTTGTTCCTTTGTCACCAACTATGTTACTGCTTTCATAGAAAAAATAGTTTTATTTGCATCAAGCATATATGGAGAAAATGCTTAATTAAGCCATAATCTGCCGAATATTACAATATTATAAACCCTCTGCTAGAGAAGCTTTTTTGTCTTCCAGCTTATTTTGCACCATTAGAGCGGGTATTCAGCCAGAGGGATTTAATTATGTGACCAAAATGTGCCAGACTGGTTGATACTATGCTGAAGAATATGGCTACTGGACTACCATGGCTGCTATACGTTCTTAGATTTTTTATTGGTAGTTTTTTTTAGCAATACAAAAAAAGTTGTTTTGAAATAAAAAATTTATCTGTAATTGGTAAAATATTACACCAACTAAGGGCCTAATAGTATACAAACATGTGTGAGCATGAGTCTTGTTGTTTTAGACTTCTTAGAACGTAAGTCTTGATCTTGGTCTTGTAAAAACTTTTAAAGTCTTGGTTTTGGGTTAAATTTTTGATATCTTAATCTTAAACATTCAATCTTGGTCTTAAGCCCTTTGTCTTGGTCTTGGCCTTTACTGTCTTGACGACTTTTCTGCCAAATAAACCTGTCGATATGAAAAAGTCAATGATATTTGTTACAGATATAGTGTATTGTGGTGGATTACTATTTCAAATATTTTAATTCCTTGATTGTTTATTAACACTAACAAAATAGCAACAAAAAATTTTTATTAGTATTATAATAAACTTTAAAAAAATTTAATCTTCTTACTTTAGTTTCATTTTTATTCTTTATTTGATACCTTAAACTTGAAATCGCCCTAAAATGAATACATATATTTTTTTTATTTTAGAGCCTGAAATCCTTGTCACTTTTTTGTCAAATCACTCTTGTTGCATTCTTAGAAATGATTTTGAAAGTTAAACCTCAGAACCTGGTGTTTAACTTTTTAATCATAAACTAAGAGACAAAACAAATTAGGAACTACAAAGCGTGCGGATTTCAAATTTGAAGACTGCAAAAAACAAGAACAATCAAAAGCTACTTCAAGGTAAGTTGTACATTTTTTATTAATACATATCCACTTCCATGAAAGCTGTAGGCAGACATAATAATACATATTATTTAGAAAGTGAGTATTAGTAGTACTAATTTACCTAGCATAAAGAAAAATGTTATTTATGCTTCATATGAAATAGTAAACAAGCTTAAAGGGTTAATTTTAATAGTGTTCACTTGACATCTGGGTAATGGTAAATCGTCATAACATTATTAATTTATATTTTCAAAATACAAAATGTTTTTAGAATATAATAAAAATTATTTGATTTTTTTGCTATATCTTTTCATAGATTTTTATTTGCTATATCTTTTCATAGTTTCTAGTTTAGTTTTTTTTCTTTCTTTAACGACTTTACTTTCAACTAGGCTGCAAGCAACCACTTTTAGAGTTGGAAATTACTGGAAGTGAAAAGATGAAGTTATTAGAGCAAGATAACGATTAACAGACAATTTAAAAAATAGCAAATTATACAAATTAGTAAAACAAGATGAAGGAAACAAATTCCAAATAACTGATGTTCAAAGAAAAAACTAGACTAAGATGATTTTTTGGAGCACTTAAGAACAGTTACTGTAAAAGGATGAGACTTAATTGAATGACCAAAATAAATTTTAGTAGGAGCAGTTTCAACTATGTTTACATAGTTATATATTTACATGTTACAGACTCAGTACTTTTTTTAACTTTCTGAAAACAAAACTCTGTTCTTCAATTGTGCTATTCAAGATTTTCTGCTAGCATCTTTATTAACTAATCATTTAATAATTGACCATAAATCCTCCATTGGACTTGATTCTATAACATTGACAAGATTTTTTTTTAGTACAAAAATGACTTTACTTTTTTAAAGCAATTTTAAACAAATAAAGCAAGATCTGGCCAAAACACACAGATTGTGCCATTGATGTTCCTTTTTATAACTTTTAATACAATCTTCTCAGTAAGTTTTTTTATTGATTGATAGTAGGTTTCTTTAGATTTTTATGAGCATATGAAGCTGATATTTTGAATTTACTAGCTGTGATCATGTTGACCATAACATTAATTTTAAAGCTTTAACTTTTTTCTGAGGCATTTTATTTGCTTTCTTGCTTGATCAATGGCTTTTAACGTCGTCAGGTTTTTCATTTTCATGTTGAATAAACAATGTTTTAATAATGTTTAACATTCACTGTCACCAAGTGACAGTAAATGTTATACATTATTATGTAATATTAATTAACAATTCCAGTCCAATATTAATTAACAATTCCAGAGCGATATTTGTTAAATACCAGAAAATTGTTATGATAATAATTTTCTGGTGCTTACAAAATTATTTACATAACATACAATGGTAAACAAATAATAATATTGTATGTATTAAATAATATGCAACACTGTATATATTAATTTATTAAGAAGATTGTATAAATGAACATGACACAAAACATTGATTCAAGATTCAAATTACTACTCTTCTATTACCATATGTAAATTTTCTGAATTTGTTGTCATTGCCCAGTGCTACCAATTCTTTAACAGATCAGAGAGATCATGACATATAGGGAAGTGGAAAATTATTATTTTAGCTTCATATTACTATTATATTTGGTATCATTGTTTTGGTAGTAGCCAATAATTTGCAAGAGTGTGAATCAGGGAGCATTTGTTTAGTGAAAAAATGGTTTTA